AAATTTTATACACATGATCTGCATGACATATTGATCAACTGTTATATTTCTTATTTATGTATATAAAAAAGCTCAGTTATTAATATATTAAAAAACCTTTTTACTATGATTAGTTTTGCACTGATAGAGTTATCGTAAAGTTTCTCATAAAATAAAATTCAACTTTTAAACTTTCATCAAATTTTTAATTGTAAATAATAAATTGAAGTACAAATTAAAATTAAAATTTTGAAATCTGGCTTTCTTTAAGCAAAATTAAGATAATTCTAGGTAAAATTAAATATAATTCTAGGCAAAATTAAGTTAGGCAAAATTAGATATAAATTCGACGAAATTAGGGTTAAAAATTTTACGTAATTTTATATAAACTTTTGTAAGTTTTGTGAATAATGTTTATTGGCTACGGGTAATCCAAGTAACCATCTGTTATATTTAAATTGGTTGGTCAAAATTATGATCCAGTTGGCTTTTATTCTATTCAGTTTATCAGCTGGATGGTTATCCAGATTGAATGTTGAAATCTTATATATAATATATTTTCGAAATATCAATAATTTTTTATTAAAGGCCAAGTGCTCTTGGTCAACAGGAGAAACCATAATGTTACACCTCTAATCCTACAGAATGATCTGGTATTGTAAAATGATTTTTTATGTATACACACTAGGTGTGGATTAGTTGTGTAATATTAACAGTTGTTTTCAAAAAATTTGGATTTACACCCTAAATATATGTTCATAAGGCCAAATTAAGATATCTGAATTAAAACATCTGAATTCAAGAAAAGCTTGAATTAAGATATCTGAATTAAAGATATCTAGTTAAGATATTTGAGTCAAGATATTTGAGTTAAGTAAGAACCTAAATAATTCAAAATATATAAATACCTTAACACTGAGAAAAGTCTTTAAACTCCGAATAAAGCTTTAACAAATTGACATTTTAAAAAAATAGAAATTTAAAATACAAATGAAAATAGAGTAGTTAATTCATAGAAATTGATACTGACACTAAATCTATTCAATCAGATACAACACAAATTGCTGAATTAGTGGAAATAAACAACCTTCTACAAGAAAAAAACAACGAACTCAAACTATTAATTCAGCTATTTGAAATAATTATCGCAGGATTATTAAGTGTGGAAATCACTGAAGAAGAATTAAATTAAGGAATAGATTCTTTAACCTTCAACAGAGAATTTAAGATCGAGATCGGTAATAATAGATGTCACAGCTGATGCTGAAATTTAGATGTCATGACTGATGCCAAAATTTGGAAAATGTATACTCTACTAAAATCAAATGTACTCTTATTGTAAATTCTGATTTCTAAAAACCAAAAGTTATATTAAGATAGGTCTAAATTTCAGCATCATCCGTAAAAAATATAATCAGCAAAACCTATTTATATGCTGCCTGAAACACAAATCAATAAATTAATATTTTGCATATTTGTGTAAACCATGATGACAAAAATGGAAGACACCTTTGAAACCCTATCGTGTATCAGATCAGAACTAATCGAAATTATTAAAGCAGCAGTTAATGTTACTGACATGATATCACCATCTTTCCAATCGCAGCTTTAATAAAAAACATATTTACTATTCATGAAAGTATCCAATTAAATGAGAAAATTTCCAAGTCTACAATTGACCGAATTGTATCTACTGAAGCAGTATTAAAATTTTTGAAAATACGAAAAATAGAATACAAAAAGAAATTTCAAGATTTGCAGTATCAAGAATTGTTTTATAAATTTCAAAAGTTGTTAACGGAGATTAAAGTTCTTGCAGAAAAAGTGCTACAATCAGGAGGTATTAAGACAATTCTAAATGCTAACAATATAAAAAAGAAATTTACCAGATTAATGAAAAAGTATGATGCATGTATGAGAGATCTGAAATTTACAATGATTGTTGATAGCAATATCTTAAGAGATGATTTTGTTGTCGAAGTTAAGGTATTAATTTCAGACTCTGACTATTCTCACATGATCATATAAAATTACTAATTAATAAAGTTAAAATATTTAAACCATAGTCAATAAAAGAAATTCTTGTGGAAAATAAGCAACAGATAGAAATTGTTTATCAAGAAGTATGCTACATTAAAAAGCAGCTTGTAGAAATTACAAACTTCATCCAAGCGCAACAATTCGATTTTCAACAAAAATCACAAGTACTATTGTAGGTGGGACTAATTAACAAAATTTTAAAATTATGTATAAGTTTATATTTTAAGTTATTATCATCAATATAAAGATGCCGAAGTTCTAACATTACTAGCGGTCAAAACTTTATGTTTTTTTTGTTATTAAATAAAGACTAAATTTTTTTATCTACTAGAATTATTTTATCTAAGTCATAAATTATGTTTATGGAACAACGAATTACATTTTAAAATTTAAGTAAATATTGATATTGGGCTTGGGTCAAATCCCAACAAAATAGAAAGATGAATAGAAATTTAGCACGAGAGGTTAAATACAAAAAAATGATACAATTTCAAGGTTACTTTAAAATTTTCTGTACAAATATTTGATTTGCAATTGTTATAAACTTGCATCCTCTTTAATTTCTATAAATAAGACGTGCGACTGGGTTATGAGCAATTTACTGGTACTTTCAGAATTAATCATCCTTTGTTATTTACATTTATAATTGTGTATTTTGTTTATTTTCATACTCACTTTTTATTGTAAATATATATTGCTTTTTTATTTTTGGTGGTTTGTATTCTTTTTGTCCTCTTTATTGGAATTTCTTCTAATTTTTAATTTTTTTTTATATTGTGCTACTGAGTTGGCGAGAATCAAATAAATAAAAAATAATATAAATAAAAAAGAACCGATATTTTTGATTGATACAAACATTTAAAAAATTGATTTATGGTTCTTTTATAAATAAATCGCTCTCGTACAATGAATGGAACGAATAATAAGGATCACTTGTTAATAAACATTATATTGAATAAAGTCATTATCTATACTCGCTCTCCCAATTTTTTAAGTAATTATTACCTATCTTTATGTCTACGGTGCTGACTAAGCCTTCAAATTTTTTTTAATTTTTTGTTTCAGAAAAGCAAAATGGAAGATGAATTAAGCTAGATACCAACAGAACATTATAAAAAAAATCAAAGATAATACAAAAAGTTTAAAGATTCAAACACCCTATAAACTTATTATATCAAAGAATTTTACCAAATCACATGTGAAGAAGAGATTAGATAAAATTAAATGATTAAAAATAGAAAGAGAAAACAGAAAATTTCTAGAAAAATATTGTGACATGTATGAGAAATAACAGATTTGTATTGTTATTATTTAGGAGAAGGTTATAGTGGTGATAAAAATGAAGAAAAGATATTGTTGTTCAAAAAAGCACTGAGGATAGCGTTGCCATTGCTCAATTACGTTATTGTCTTTTTACAAGATGTTTAAAACTTTGAATAAGATTTTCAACGACTACTCGATCAAATTTTCAAATTTGATAAAACTTCGATAACTACCGGTCAAATTCAATAAAAGAATTTTTATTTAAATTCTACAAGCCTGTGGAATTAAAATAAAAAAAAAAGCTTCACCGCATTTGGTCTGGTAGTTATTGAGCAAATTTTGTTTAAATTTAAAAAAATACAACCATAGCCTTCTTTTCATTAAAAGTTTTATGTGAATATTTCTTGATAACTGCCAGGGCAAGCTTGATAGATTTTTTATTTATTTTAATTTTACAAGCTCGATAAATTTTTATTTTATTTTTAATACTACAAATTTGTAGCATTAAAATAAAACAAACTTTATTGTTATACTGCAAAATTTTATTAATATAACTACTTTTATGTTTTAAATAAAAAATGATCCTAATTTTATTCTAAATTAATTTATGCAAAAAAATTACTTTTGAAAAAATTGTCAATTCGGGCCCTTTTCCCAGCACCTAGCCCATATAAGACTAATTTCAGTTTTATTAAGATAGGCAATTTAGGCACATATGTATAGCTATGAATTATTGTCCAGAGTGTAGCAGAAGATATTTAAAAAGTTACGTTTTATTTTTCGATAGAAATAAACAACCAATAAAAATAAATTTCTACATGTTGATTGTTTTGATATAGTTATCGTTATATTTTTGATTAAAATTATTAATGTTAATATCGATAACTGATAATAATATATCAAAAATGTTCTCACGTGTGTCTAAATTTGTACTTTGGTATAACAAAAAACAAATACACATTGATTTTCTGCGATGATTAAAACCAAATTCAGCGTGTGGTTAAGAAAATTTCTGTGATATGATGTGCTGTTTTTTTTAGCACTTTCTGTGATGATAATGTTGATTTCTGTGCAATTCTGTAGTATTTAGTACTAATTCTGTGATTTAAGCATGAGGAAATTTGTTTTTATTGGCTGATCATCAGTAATTCTGATTGGTCAAAATTAAAGACTAATTTGTATATTGATACCTGATATTATCGCTATCGTTATACTCACAACTCT